CTCTGCTGGCTCTCCCGTCATCCGGCTCGCCGTTTACTCACGCCGACGTGCGCAGCCGGGTTGCTTCTCGAAGAAAATGCGCGGTGATTAAGGCTCGACCGGCAGGAAAACGGGGAAGCGTTACAGCTTTCCTTTTTGTGCTCATCGAAGGGCGGCGCATCTCTGGTGCAAAGGAGTGCGCTCCCGTGGGATGTGCTATGCGCAGCTGCGCCACTTCAGAGCGTGGGCGTCTACCAAAAGGATGATGCAGCCTTTTTTTTTCTTTTCGGAAATGACGAATCCATAACGGTTGGGATTTGCTCATGACAAATCAAACGTATTTTATGGCAAGTTTAGTTGTCACGAGAATGGCAAATTTAGGTGACAAGAACGGTAATTTTTTACAAAAAATAAACTAAAGGTGAAATTATCATACTTACCAACTAAACTTGTCATCCCTCGTGTATATAAATTGCCACAAAAAACATGCGATTTGCCATCGGGAAATCGCAAACGTCCAGGACTTATCGGCGTCCTTTCGTTTCTGCAGAAGAGGTGCAACAACCTAGACCTAATCTGGCAGCAGGAAGAGGCAGAAATGGACATTTTAAAGAGCAAATGGGAACAAACTCCCGCAAAAGTCAATTTCTAAAATAAAAAAGGCAAATAGGTTTCTAATCCTTAGTCATAGTATGAAATTATTGCTATATTTAATTTGATCATAAATAATTCCACTTTAGTGAAAACCACACCTTTTTGTAATCAGTTTAGGTACAAGAAAAACATTAGGCAATCGGGCATAAATTGATCTAGAAAGGAAAATATGATCAAATGCCATAAACATTTTTGTGGCTTCAAATGATCGGAAAAAATTTGGCTTTGAAAGAGCAAACCGTTAACACTGAATCAGCCATGTGTGGCCTCACACTTTCGTTTCCTTCTGATCATTTTTAAGGAGAGTCGGCTAAATTTTAAAAACCGGGTTAAAATTCGCGAGGCATTTCTAACACTATGTGTTGGCAACTAGGATACGTAACATCACATTCGGAAGGTGAACAATATATAGCTGAAACTATAAGTGCGCCATAATCGTTATATATTTCCAAATATCAATGACTAGAAAGAAGAAAGGCGCCATCCCATAATTTTATGCTGATATGCATGTTATCTAGAAGACTTTTTGAAACTAATATCTATAAGAACATTCAAACCTTGCAAGATCGGTTTCCTACTAACGACAAAAAAAAACACTGTCCAATCTTGACAGTTGGCACACAGCAGTGCGTGAACTATTTCTAGGCAGCCTTGGTATACACCTAACAAATCTTTAAAGCCACGATTGAAGCAATCCGAACAAAGGATATGAAACCAACTGTAGATGGTGGTTCATTCGAGAAGTTTTAATCAGATGTAATAGAGAAAATCTTTTATTTAATAGGTGAAACAAATGTGATTAGGATTGCGTTTGCCTGGCGACCTAGGGCACAATCAAAATAACACCATGGTCACGTGCCCGTATGTGTCATCCTACTAACAACCTAGGGCACGCGCCGGTATGATGGTGGCTTAGTCGGTCAAACTCGTGCAACGTAAAGGTCACAACAATATGCGCGAGCACAAGAGTTGGGACACAAAGTGAAGGACGGAAATGAGTATATATCTTTTTTTTCAAAAGAGTATATATCTAATAAAAACCATTTACCATATGTGTCATCTTGGAAGCACCTTCACCTTACCGGCGGTGGAAAAACCTCTGGCCGTCCAAAGCGATCAACAAGTGCACGACCACGGCACGTAGCCACGTCGCAGTACAAGTCTTTTTTCCTTTCACCCGCAGCAACTGGCCCCGGCGCCTCGTGCACCGAAAGCGGAGGGCTCGGCAAAGGGACGCTCGCGCCGCGGTTGGCAATGGCATCTATAAAACCAGCCCAGAAACCACCACCTCCACCTCCCCCGGTGCGCAGCGCACACAGCCGAGCCGCAGCCAGTCACGCGCCCGACTTCGCTCGCTCGCGCACGCACGCACGCACGCACGCACGGGACGGAACACACTCGCGCACTCCCACTCCCACTCCACCGCTCCGCTCTCCCTGCCTTGCCCACGGCCGCCGCGCCGCCTGCCTTGCCTGCCCGCCTGCATGGGCGACCACCACCACCCGCGGGCCCGCCCCGCCGCCGGCGACCTGCGCCCGCCGGAGCCGCCGCTCGACCCGCTCGAGTTCCTCTCCCGCTCCTGGAGCGCCTCCGCCGTCGACGTGCCCCGCCCGCGCCCGCCGTCGCCGGCGCCGCTCCTCGCCGCGCCCATCGCCGAGGACCCCGCCTGCTGCGAGCTCGACGACGGCGCGGCCACGGCCGGCAGCTCCTTCTCCTTCGCCTCCGCCGCCACCTCGCAGTTCATCATGGAGCGGATCCTGGCGCAGTCGGTGAGCCCTCCTCCCTCCGCCTCGGCCCTTCCTCCCCTGCCCTCTCCTCTCCTCCCTCTCCGGGCAAAAGAAAAGAGCGTTCTCCGATCGGAGCTGCCCAAACTCACGATCCGTTTGCACAAGAGGGAAAAAGCAAGAAATACCACTAAAAATTTCAGTTTGTAACCGGCGAGTTCCGTTTTGTCTGTGGCATGGCCGCGTCTGATTCCGACCTCTCTCTTTTTGTTTTGTTTTTGTTTAATAACAGTGCTAAAGCGTGTGCTTTAGTCGTTCTTTATGTGGGATTTCGACGCTCACCAGCATTCGTCCGAGAATTACTACTGTGGAGTACGTTTGTGTGATGAGTTCGTGGTTCCCTCCTTATCTCCTGTGATTCCTGTCAGAGGATTCCCAGCGTACGCCCCAGTACGAAATCCAGCCCCTTCGATGGGAGTTAATGATGATCCTCTTGACCTTCCTCACCGCTCCGGTTCATTCTCTCGTCAAATTCAACCTCTATTTTCTCTTGGTTTTCCTTTTGACCCCATGTTTGGACAAGGAGAAACGGCCAAAGGGGAGATTCTTCTCCTACGAGGGCAATTAGAAGAGGCGTAATCCCGACCCCCTTTTTTTAATCTTTTTAACAACCCTGCTTAGTGAGTGGTCAGGGCAACAGTTTATCATCCATTTCTCAGCTCTTCCGAGAATTGATTTTTCATTTCTTTCTCTTTCGCAGTTTGCAGAAGCAAAAGTAAATAATCCGTACTACTGTTTAGTGTTTATCACTTTTAATTGATCGGTGGAACTGGACATTGATGCAAATTTGTTGTGCAGGAAGTGGCGCCCCTCACAACCGGACGGCTCTCCCACAGCAGCGGCCCGCTCAACGGCGGCGGCTCGCTCACCGACAGCCCGCCGGTCTCGCCGGAGATTGACGACTCGCAGGTTCACTTCTTGTCACATTTGCTGCTTTCCACTCGTGCTGGCTACCAGTTCCTAGGCGAGGCCCCTGTTCCAAGTGCTCGTGATTTCCAGTGCAGTAGTACTCGCAGTTCTACTAGTACTTGGCCTCAATTTTTAATGCCGAGCAAAGCGCCAGCCTTCTTCAGGCTCTCACTAATTGTGCTCAGTTTCCAGTACCATCTTTGGATGTTCTTGAGCGTTTTAAGTTACAAAGACCAAGGCGCTAGTGGACGAACTGTGTTGATGTGTCAAGTTTTTTAGAGTTTCAGCAAGAAACCAAAAGAGATTGTGCACTAGCAGCCGTGTGCACGACTCATGGTCGTGTGCTTGTTTACCGGGAAAACCATCTTTTCCGCGCTCTACAACTTCAGAAAACCCGAAAAAGTCGATTAAATCATGAAGCTTTTGCGCGGCTTTCTTTTTACTAGTAGTTCCATTGTCCTTGCTAGATTATTTGTCCGGGAAAAAATATCTGTTCACAAAACTTTTCCTTGCATATTGTGTCTAAACTGACGGTTTGCAAGACTATTTCCATGGCAAAAGATCTCAGCAAAATATCAAAAAAAAAATTAGCATTGTACACTCACACTAGAAACCGCAGCTTGGTTGTGCTTGTGGTAAAACAGCCGAGGCCAGAAGAGTCACTTGTTTATGAAAGTAACTATACTATAGGAAGCTGTGGGACACTGAGAGGCTGCCTGGGAGCTGGGACAAAGAGACCAGCCTTGCAGCCTTCCCTGTGCGCCAAATTTTCTGTGGAGAGAGAACAAAAGAAAAAAATGGAACAGGCCCCGTCGCCTTTCTCACATTCCGATAAAACACCTGGCCATAGTAACCCTCATCTCTTTTTCCCCACATCTTTTGTTTTGCCTAGTCCCTTTCGCGCTCTCTCTCTCTCTCTCTCGCTGCTACCAAGAGCCTGCGATCTCGGCGCCCATGGCGCAATGTTTTGCCGCGGCCATGTCCTTTTCTCCGTCGCCCCCGCCGCCAACTCCTGTTTTCCAGTTTGAAGCCTGTGCCCCTTCACATGCGGGATCATGTACATCTCCATTTTGGATGCACCAGCACCAGCACCAGCACCGGCTGGTTCATGGCTTACCTGTTTGTTTGCTTGTCCCCTCTGCTATGCTGCCCATGAACAAGCCCCACATTTTACAGATTTACATGGAGTGTAATATGCTTTGTTTCATTCACATCCATGTTAGTTGTCGCTGTTTTAGTACAAAGTTGTACTAAAACAGAGACAACTAATATGGAAGGAACGGAGGGAGTAATATACTAGTAGTAGAAAACAACTAGCACGCATGTCTATATGTTTTTCTAGGCATTCTTGGTTTAAAGCATCTTTTTTCACAAATATAAGGATACTGTTGCCCATCTCTCAAAAAATAGTGACCCCTTCCCTCTTTTCTTCCTAGCTCTTGTTCTTCATGCCTTGTTTTCATCTTTCATGTACCTTGTTCTCTTTTCCACTGTAGTACGTACTTGTTAAGTGTCACTTCAGCGGCGTGCGCACAACAGTTATAATTTGCTTTGTTCCTCCCGTCTGCTTCCTGCCTTATTGTTTCGACGGGATGCATGCAGTACTATCTTACAAGTTTTACTCGGTAATAAGTTTGGGGGCCGGCACAGTATGGTGCTGGAATAATGTGCTTGGATATCCAAAGACAGAGAGATATGTCACACTGGCAGGCCAGCCTATGCACTGGTTTGTCTGGCTTGGCGAATTATTAGTTTGTAATCTTTAAAGCATCTTTCTTTAAAAAATATATTCCTTTCCTGGGACAGTTTATTAGCTCATGATAAAGCAAATATGAAATGCCTCCAAAGATCCAACTGTTCACCCCTATTTTTGGGATTAAGCACAAAGAAGATAAAAGTCCAGGAATGCCCCACACCCACATGCCCCCAGCCCCAAGAGAGACAAGTCCTACGAGAGGTCAAGGTCAAAGATCTGATTAGGATAGGCAGGCCGTACACAGGGCCACTCTCTGGTCCTCCCAGCCGGGCTAATCACGGTTGTTTAGCCCCCCCTAAACCTGAGACCCCTTCCTGTCGTGGTAAACATTTTTTGCCTGCAAGAATGGATTTTACCGTGTTGCTTGGGGGTGTGCGTTAATGAAGCCCCGATTCCGGGTACCGTCTCAGCCTGGCCTCTGGGCTCTGGTCTGCTGCTGCTTGTGCAAGCGAACACTGTGCGCGCCCAGTCTGCCGATGTCACTCTCCATGCACCCCGTTTCTCTCTCTCTCTATCTCTCTGGGTAAAAGGTACTCTAGCAGTAGCAGGCATGCAGTCCTTGCCTTTAAGCTCGGTCTGCTCTGCTCCTGCCTTTTTGGTCCCTAATCGAGTTTTATTCCTCCGGCTTTTCTAATCTGGTGTGTTAGTGATGATGCCTTCTTTTATCTGATCTAGGACCAATGCTGCAGGTTTATTCCACGCCGCTTCATCATTGTGTCCATTTATCCTCTGAGATTATAGTAAGTACTACATTGTTTACTGGTGTACATGTAGTATGCGCCAGTATGTGCCACGCTTTTGCTCAATTATCAGACTTACTTATGCCGTACCATAGTTTAACGTTGTGCATACACAGTGTTTTCTGCTGGCCGAGGAGCTTTGAATAATTGTTAGTACTACACATGAGAGAGTTACGGACCCACCCCGGAAATTTGGGTTCCATCTATCACTTCAAGGCCCTACCGCAACATTTGCTGTAACGAAATTTTTGCACTTGAAGTAAAATTTTCCTAGCAGTTTAGTCTGTTTGATCTACAGTATTGCCCATAGGAATGCAAAATGATCATTGGACCGAAAGAACAGAGAATTATAAACATCCTTTGGAATGCTCTTTGCTAATTGGAACAATCTCTTGTCAAAAATGTAATGCAGTACTGCAGGGCGGGCACGCCGAAGCCACAGGCGTACCGAGGAGGCAGCAAGACGGTCGGCCGGTGGCTCAAGGACAGGAAGGAGAAGAAGAAAGAGGAGACGCGAGCGCACAACGCGCAGGTCCATGCCGCTGTTTCGGTCGCGGCGGTGGCTGCTGCGGTTGCGGCCGTTGCTGCTGCCACCGCTGCGGCCTCAAGCACCGGCAAGGATGATCGCGCGGCCCGCACCGACATGGCCATGGCCTCCGCGGCGACGCTCGTGGCCGCGCAATGCGTCGAGGCCGCGGAGTCCTTGGGGGCCGAGCGCGAGCATTTGGAGGCGGTTGTTAGCTCGGCGGTGAATGTCAGGACGCCTGGCGACATCGTCACGGTCACAGCTGCTGCTGCTACTGGTTTGTGATTTCCATTCCACCTGATGTGGTGATAACTGATAACTACAGTACTGTATTTCTTAAGCTTGAGGTGGATGATCATTGTTGTGTGCAGCATTGAGAGGTGCAGCCACATTGAGGGCGAGGGCTCTGAAGGAGGTGTGGAACATAGCGGCGGTGATCCCGGTCGAGAAGGGGACGATGGGAGGAGGAGGTGCAGGAGGAGGGCACCATCACAAGCAGATTGTGCAAAAGCAGCAGCATCGCAAGCTGGAGAGCAACGGCAGCAGCATCAGCGATCTTTCGCTAGAGGAGGAGAACAACTTCCTGGGCGCGTGCAGCCAAGAACTTCTTGTTCGCGGCACCGAGCTCCTTAAACGCACGCGGAAAGGTGCTGTCTGGTGATACATTTCCGGTTCATCGATGTGTTAAAAGTGCATGGACATGTACTGACGCTGCTGTTTCATGATCGTTTTATCTGCAGGCGCACTGCATTGGAAGGTCGTATCAGTGTACATCAACCGAATGGGCCTGGTAAATGCCGACGTCCTCGAGTTGTATAGAACCTTTTTTGTGGCAATTCTGGTCTTTTTGCTTAGTTATCATGGCGTGCTTGCAGGTCTCTCTGAAAATGAAGAGCCGGCATGTCGCAGGGACAATCACCAAGAAGAAGAAAGGCGAGTGGCAAGCAATCATAGCAACGACGGTAGCATCATCTCATTGTCCGTCATCCATGGCGCTGATCGAGGTCGGATCCATGTCGCTGCTTGCAGGTGTGGTGATCGACGTGTGCAAGGACGTGGCGGCGTGGCCCGGGCGGCACCTGCTGGAGGACGGCGAGCACCGGCGCTACTTCGGGCTGAGGACGGCGGACCACCGGGTGATCGAGTTCGAGTGCACCAGCCAGAGGGAGTATGAGCTGTGGACCAAGGGCGTGGCCCGCCTCCTCAGCATCGCCGGCGAGCGGAAGCGTCCCCTGTGACTGACTGAGTGGGCTGCCGACGCCGGGCTTTTGGTCGTCCGAACTCCGGAGCCGTCCCATGTGTGCGTTTGTTTGCTAGGCTGTAGATGTGAGGCGAGGGGCAACAGAAGAAAACAGCATGGGCTATGTATGGGGTGTACCTCTTGTCCTGCAAGAGAAATGGACCATCATGCCGTTGCTACTTGTTAGGGCTGGAAGTGAACTGAAGGCTGTGTGTTTATGTGCATGTGGTTGGGTTGGGGTTTCCATCAGCTCATGTGTGAAGAAGAGTGGCTAGAGTGAAGTTCCCCCTTTGCTCTGTTTCCTTTGTGTCTTAAGTTTTGCTTCTCACCTGTGGTGTGTCGGTGGCCTATTATACAGAGAGACATCTAGTGGCGGGAGAAGATCATTGCTTTGTTCCATTTAGGTATGGTAATTTCTGCTTTGTTCCATTTAGGTATGGAAAATCATGGAAGATAGATAGTAATTGGGTTCTTTTGAAGGACATGATTGATCCTTGACAGCGCTCTTAGGCCTCAAGAGGAGTAGAGTGACTAGTGTATAATGGTAGTTGCGGCTGCGGTTTAGAATCTTTGACCGGGAGCAAAAGCTGCTTTTGTCCCTTGAACATCGTCTTCCCCTAGCTCTGAGGTCAGGGGCCCTTACAGTACATGTCTACTGCTAAAGCTGTCGCCTCAAGAATTCCCTGGGTCCCTTCCTTCTCTGCTGCTCTCCCTCCCAGTTTGCAACATGCTTTGCTTTCAACATGCCGGAGGCTGTACTCTCTCATTCTTCCGTTTCAGGAGCTGGGGATCACATTCCCTTCGGCTGCTGCTGCAGTCGATTCAGGATAATAATTTTGTTCAGAGACCCGCGTACTCTGCATCCTTTACTCAGTAATTTCATTTCTCTGAGACTGAAACTATTACTCCCTCCGTTCGTTTTTATAAGGCGTTTCAGACAGCTGAGTTTGAACTGTTTAGTACACTGTCTGAATTTACTAAAACGTCTTATATAAGTGAACAGAGGGAGTACCATCTTCCTTTACACGTGAAATCATTCAGAAAACCGGATGCCACGATGTGATTTTCCTTTCCGTTGTCTCGAGATTGGCGAGGTAAAGAGCTTTTCTCTGTGTCCCCCATCTCTCTCGGCTTTGCGGTAGTACGCGGGGACTGCCTGTGCAAGTGCAAGTGCAAGTGCCGTGCCGTATCCAATGCAAGGCAAGGCGCGGCATTTGGAACCTGGAGGATCGATCCGATGCGGTAAAAGGCGAGGCATCTCTCTAGCCCTAGGTCGCCTCCATTGACAGGGAGAGGGGAAAAGAGTAAGGGCTCAATGATCGCCGGCACCTTGTAGACCTTGGTTGCCGCGACGAGGCGCGAATCTTTGCCGCTTTGGCCTGTGGCGAGAGATGTACTGGGAAAGAAGTGAAACCTGTCATGTAAAGAAGAGCCGGAGCTGAGCTTCTTGTGATCCAGGAGACCGGAAAGACGGGTAGCAACAGGGTTGCGGTGAGTGAAATGACGTGTTTGGAAATTCAATTCTGAAGGGGGGAGAGTCAGGCTGTCCGCTCTTTGTTTGTTTCTTTTTTGTTTGTTTCTTTTTCGTGTTTGCCCAGGGCATTCTGGTCAGGTTTTTCATATGGGCGATCATTGGTGAGTCTGGGTGTGGCTCGACGAAACCAAGGCTGCAGCAGGGAGTCTGAATGTGAGGATATGAGTGACGGAATGTGGAGATGTGAAGTAAAGCGGCGACGAATAGTAGTAGCATGCGTCTTGCACTCTTTGGCCGAGTACTGCATGTTACGACTACGTTCTTTCCCCTTTGCCATCATGCATGCTCCAAAACGGGGCCGGTACTCTCTTCTTTGCACAACTGGCTTGATACCGAGTGCCATTGTGCTCCGCGACAGAGACTGCTTCGCATAGGCATCGGAAAATGAAAATCCCATGCGCAAACTGCAATTTTCAGTTTCAGATTCCGGAAAGGAACTTAAAACGTATTTGTATTGTATACTACTACTACTAGTAGTAAAAATACAGAAACTGAGATGTTCTATGGGACGAAACGTATTCTGTACTGAACTCCTACTTCAACATAAATTACTGGCCGAATATATCTATGATTACGTCAAAATTCAGTTTTATGTTCTAGGCGCGTATCACTTCTGAAACTTATCGAATCATGTGTGAATATGCCAGCGCTACCAAACAAGTTGAAGGATGGCTCCGACCGGTTCTTCACCACGCTCCCTTCTCCCGCGCTCCCCTCTCATCATTGCGCTCCTCCAATCTCCTTCCACTATCATCACGTCGTTGGGTGGCCTTCCATCTTAGTGATGGTTTTCTCTTGAGAATCAACAAGAGCATTATCTTCATCTAGTTGTTTCAAGAGAGCAACAAAGTGCTTCTTGGTCTCATCTTTGGGCTTGACCACGAACTTGTCAAACTTATTTTCACCTTCCCTTGTGACCTTATCATCTCCCACACAATTCATCAGAATGAGTTACTTGTAATGATAAACTTGATGGGAGGGTTTACCTCTGAGGCCTTGTCCATAAGGCACTTGTGGGTGGTGATGACATTCTCGTTAGGGGAGTCGAAGAGAGACACCGATGGAGAGGGAGTGGTGGCAATGGCTACAGAGGCCGTTGCAACCGCTTCACCGCTTGTATCTTCATCATCATCATCATCAGAGTAGTACTCTTCTTGTACCACTAACACTTTTTGAGGCTTCTTCCTCGCAAAGTGGTTGTTCTTGCTTGGGTAAGTCCTTGTCTTGGCCTTGCGGATAAGCTTGCCATCATTGTCTCCCCTCTTTGTCGGTGGGAAACGACACCTATGGGGTCACTGGTATCCCTTCTACGGTTGGCGGGCGCGGGGTTGTGCGAAGAGCGGGTCTGGCGGTCAGCACACAAATCGTTTACCCAGGTTCGGGCCGCAGGAACGCGTAAAACCCTAGTCCTGCTTTGATGTGTATTGAGGTGTTCTTGTGTTCTTGAACTAGTTGTAGTGGCTCTCTAGTCCAAAAGATCTGAATCCCTCTCCAGTACACCTCGAGCCTCCTTTTATAGACAAAAAGGGGTTGCCACAGTGGCACACAGGAGGTGAAAAGGTGTACATGTGCTGAGTCTATCCCCTGGCATCATCGGACAAAAGCATTTTATGCGTTGCCGACGTGCCCTTCTTACTTTATTGGGGACGACAAAGAAGCTCGTCCCAGCTGTCGTCGCCTCGCCTGGCTCCGACGCGCGTCCAAGCTGACGAGGCGTTGTAGCGCCACGTTGGCTGGCCGCTGGGCTGGCGCGGTGGTGGAGCCTTCACGAAGATCTGCATGCCACCACGCAGGTGCTTGCTGAGTTGGTGTAGAGGCCGCGTGCTGCCACGCAGATGCCTGCTCAGCTGGTCAAGCTAGCAGCTGTATGGGAGAGGCGGTGGAGTCTTGGCGGACGCGGGCACGGCTGCGGCCTCGCGGGCGTCCTCGGCAAGGTTCTTACCGAGGGCCCGACAAGGGTCTCGCTGCGGCACAGCGGTCGTCCCCGGCAAGGGTCTTGCCAGGGGTCTCGTGGAGCTCCTCGGCAAGGATCTCGCCAAGGGTCGTCGTCTTCTGATTTCCATCTGATCTTGTGTGTCTATGATCTCTACAAAGATCAGCATGTCACCACGGAGGTGCCTCCCGAGCCTTGGTTCCAATATGGCATGGGGACCCCTTGGGCTCAAGGGTGGTACGCTCTATTGGCGTCAGGTAAGTTGCCCAGGCAAGGATCCTGCCGAGGCTGTGGAAGCCACCCCGGCAAGAGTCTTGCCGGGGGAGTCCACCTCACCCTCTTGCTCTCTTTGCGTCTCTGGTCTTGGCGTTGCTTCGACATCCCTCCCCGGCCCTACTTAGTGTGGCCGTGGGCGCGGCTCTGATTGCCCGTGCACAAGTTTAAGGGGTGCAAAACGAGAGCCCCTACTTTTGTACACTGACAGGAGCCCCCGGGCCTGGGCCACACATAAGCGCGACGCGTTGTTGGGCTAGGCCCAGAACGGTGCGCGGGCAGGTGGGGCGGATTTTTACCGCAATAATTTCTCGTCTGCTGCGCTTCCCTATGACTCGCGTTGAACGCGCGACGTGGAGGGTCATGCGTGACGTGGGGGTCGTGCATGGGGCGGTTTCCGCACGCATGCATCACATCATGGTAAAGAGGTGGCCCGCGCCTTCCCTGTAAAAAGGAACAACCGCGGGCGCGTTGCTCATTTACCCCTGTGTCTTCTCCAATCTCGGAACCGCGGTCCCCTCCTTCTTCCTCCTCACGCCTCTGCTCTCGCTCGCCGCCGTTGCGTTTTCACCGCTCTTTCTCCTCCACTTCTCGCAGCCGCCATGGCACTCAAGACCAGGAAGAGCAAAGGAGTGGCCAGGGACGCCGAGGGTCGGAGCTGCCGGAGAGCGAATCGACGGCGCGGCGGACGCAGCTCGCCTACTTCCCCTCAACGGTCGACGCGGTCCATCTCCGGGATAACTTCAGGCCCCTTTGGGGGTGCAAAACGGGGGGAGAGACGACGGGGCACCCGGCCACGCGCGTCATCCCCGCCAATTGCGCCAAGGCCGCCCCGAATCGGTACCCATTCTTCGTCGACTACTTTTCCTATGGCCTCTGCCCCCTTTCTATGATTTCTTCAACGACATCATGCACACCTACGACTTCCATCTTCTGGATTTCACTCCAAATGCCGTGGCGTGCATGGCTCTTTTCGCCCATCTCTGTGAGGGCTTCGCCGGAGTGCTTCCCAGCACGGCGCTCTTCCGCCGCTACTTTTACCCTTGGATCCAGAAGGGAGGCGCCATCTCTGGTTGTGTCACTTGGATCCCAAGGCCCCTGGAGTAGGGGACGTATCCAGAGGGCGCCCAAAAGGAGAGGTGGGAGGAATGGCGGAGCCGGTGGTGCTGGATTAAGGAGGAGGACCCTCAGGAGTTTTGCCAAGTTCGCCAGACGCCGCCGGTTCACAAAGATGACTAGGGCGACGTCGACGCCCTGG